AATTTTCAACTAAAATCAGAGTTGGGGTCAACAAGACAACAAGATTTGTCTTAAGTGAGTATTTTTTTCAAGGTTGAGGTTGTAGCAGTAAAACTACTTACAAGTACTTTTACTGTAGTATTGTAAAAATTAAAAATACTGGCTGTAAAAGTAGTAAAGACAACGGAAAAATACTGCTAAACCAAAATACTTAAATAAAAGTAAAAAAGTTTTTTAAAAGTTTCAAGTTACAAAGTAACAAGTACTTTTGCGGGTTGGAAAACTGAACACATCTAACATTAACAATAATATACATAAATTAAAGTTTTAAATCATCTTGGAATAAAACTTATTAAGTGATGAATTGGTACTACTTATGAATATTGAAATAATATCATCAGCATCAGTGTCGTATAACAATCCAAATTAAAAAAGTTCATCTTTAATTTAGACATGGCTACTTCATTTGCTGAATTTGCACTTGCACTATAGGGTAGATTAGGGCATTATGAGCAGCTTAAGCGAAATTAGGAATATTTTTAAAAATAACTATGCTGTGACCAATATTTTAGCGAATAAACAATCTTTAGGGATTACTACTCATTATCTAATTTGATTTTTCGGCACGCGAAGTATTATTTTAGAAATACAGAGGTTTTAAAAAGACAGCAAAAATGCTCATATTACCCAGACCACTGGGTAATATGAGCACTTTAAAATATTTTATAAAAATATCAAATACCCCCAAAAAAACAAGCCAAAACAATGCAATTAAGCATCTATGTAGTGGAGTATTTAAGTGGAGTATAAGAAAATTAAAAAAACCTTTTTCTAACATCTTTTTCCATAACACAAAATGTTTATCATAATAAGAATGTTTTATAACAATTATTTGTTTAATAACATAACACAACATAACTTTCTAAACATAAAACTGTTAAAAGTAAGATTTTATACACAGTTGCTACAAAAAAAAACAGATTTTAGTTTTTTTTTCCAGTACACGATTCACAGTACCAATGACTGCAATGACTGCATTGGTTCCATGGCACTTCAGACTCATTGTACAAAATTTCACATATCATACAAAATGTTTGATCGATCCTGCTATTTTCATTTTCATTTTTTGTTTTGTCTTCATTAGTTAAAATATCCTAAAATAAAAGCTAGGTTATAAATTAAATTACTTAAAATTTCTTTAACAGTAATTTTAAGATATTAATTAAAATAACATATATATAATTTTCAATTGTTTTATTTATTATGTATTACAAACAATATTTAAAAAGTATTTTTCTTCAGAAAAAATAAAGTTTTATCTTTGAAAAAACTGTTTTAAAAGTAAAAGTATATATTTATAAATTGAATGTGTGTAAAGGCAACTTACTGTGTTCTCTAGCATTTCATCTTGTGGTTTATTAATCTTACTTGGAACCTCACTGGCAACATTTAAATTGATTTTCCTTTTTTCTGTGTGTATTCCTAACTTTGCTGAGGTTTTTGTATTCAACATCTTTTTTGTTTTAGAATTTTCAAGTACAGATCTATATGGTGAACTGGTAACTATAGTAACATGTTGAACAGATCTTTGTTTTTAAGCAGTTGGACAAATGTTTTAGTGACAGGACTACTGCATTGTTTTAAAATAGAATGTGTTCTGGTTAGATTGGTCTGGTCGTTTGTTACTTTTTCCTGTGAATCACTGAGTGTGATGTTAGAAGTGTTCTGTTCTTGATTTGTCACTGCAGCTGCTATAAAATCTTCATCTGTAAAAATGAGTCGATTAAAAGGATGAATTCCTGATTTACGAAATCCGCTCTTAGTTTTACTCACTGAAGCAGCCTCACCATAAGCAGTGCTGAACAGATTTCCGAATTCGGCCTCTGTTACTGGTCTACCAGGGTGTTGGCGATGCGATGACTGCACAATTGAATTGTATCGTGAGCTTAAGGATTTAAAAAAAGCAGTATCTAGTAGCTGCATTTTATGGGTACATTTTATGGGTGACTTGGAAGACTTAATATATTCACATTGTTTCTGCGAGCTTTTAATATCACTTTTATGTTCTTTACATAACAGCTATGAGCGTCTAATATCAGTAAAGTTGGCGTATTGCAGTTTGACGGTTGAGTAAATTGTAAAAAGTGGTCAAACCAGATATCAAAAAGTTCTTCATTTATCCAACCATTCTTTGTTGCAACTCCAAGTGCTCCTTAGGGTGCTTGATCCATAAAAGATGGCTTCATGCTCTTTTTGCCAGGAGTATGACAAACGGAAAAGCTACTTTCATCAGCATTATAGATGCGACTTGGTGGGATTACAATTTTACCATACTGATTAAATATAATTGACTCTAAGGCATCAAAAAAACGATCAACTTTTTCTTTGTTAAATCCGGATGCACGTGCCATCGAAGTTGGTTCTGCTTTTCTTAAAGATAAGTTTGAGTTTGAGTTTAAAAATAAACGTATCCAATCTTCTCCTGACTTTTTTCACATTGACGTTTTTTGTTAAACTTATGTGGGATGAAATTAACTTCACAAAAACAAAATGCTAGTCGCCTTATGTCTATCTTTGTTAACCCAAATAATCTTTTTTCCATTTCAATAATAATGCTAATTCAGTTTCTTGAACTTTGCTTAGTGTTCTTGGTCGACCAAGAACTTTGTTTAAATCAGCACCATTTTTAACTTTATTTATATAACGTCTCAATGTCTGTCTTGGTATGCCAAATAATTTTGCTGCATTCTTTTGACTTCTTCCATATTTTAATACATCATCAACTGCTTTTTTCAAATTTTCAAAACACCATTCAGCTTTTTGAATTTTTATTTTACTATCTCTTGGCATCTAAGAGAAAGCAATAAATGATAATAATAATAATAATAATAATAATAATAATCATAATAATAATTAATATATATATATATATATATATATATATATATATATATATATATATATATATATATATATATATATATATCACGAAATAATTTTGAAAATAAAAAACCCATCGATTTTTTTCAAGCGCGTGTTAGGAATTCGGACGTAAAGGCGACAAATTATCATTTTCATGCTAAAACACCGGATTATATGAGCATGCTCAAATTACTAGGAAATAGTATGTTTTAATACCATGAGTATAAAGTGTTCAAATCATATAGATCTCACTTGATAATTCAACACATGTTTACCTAATAAATTTTTAATAAAAAAACGCAAAAAAAAACGACTAACAACAATATTTAACTCCATAGACCATTTTAATTGTATCAAGAATGTTTTAAAAAAAGCAAATTTTTGGACTGCCTTTTAAATATAAAGTACCCACTAATAACTTCTTTTCGCAATAAAGTAAACAGGCTGATTTATGTAATAAGTTTATAAAAGTGATTCAAAAAATGCAAAGCCTTTGGAATTTCAGCGAATGCAAGATAGAAAACTTCAAGTATGCTCATATTACAAGGTGCTCAAATTACCCTAATCTACCTTAACTATTTTTAGATAGCTGCTGTTGAATTTTGATCTCCAGAAATTCCAGATAAACTCTTTTTTGTTTGTTGTCTTATATCCAAACTGTTTTAAATTTTTGATGCAAATTGTTGTTGTTAATTCTGCATTTATGATGTACTGACTAAATCTGCTATCTATAGCAGCATTTTTCAGACAGTCAGGTCGCTTATTGCGTTATGTATTTAGGTTGCGTATCTTGTGTATTCATCATGCAACCTTGTGTCTTAAGGCATGCCTAGAATCCTGTAGTTTTGGTTTCGTGATATTTTGCGTATTATATAATACATTCGAACCAATAAAGTTCAATTACTTTTAAACTTTTTTTTTCTAAAAGTTACAAAGTAAAGAATACGGAAAAGTAAAGAAGGTAAAAGCGCTGCGTTATAAATGTTGTCACGTGTACAAGTACTGCAAAAAGTAACGAAGTATTGTTACGAAGTAAATGTACTTCGTTACACTCCATCCCTGCCTATAATCGATGACAGTCCTCGTATAAAATTATTTATTAAGATTGAATTAAAATTAGTTGTTTTTAAACTACTTTAAACAAGGAGATATAATATCGTAGCTGGAAAAAGAATGAAGAGAAAATACGTCATTTCTCAAAGAACAGTCTTAGTAGTAACATAATTTTAAATTAAACACCGCGGAATTATCTTAATTAAAAGTTAACCAATCACATTCCACTTTTAACAAAAGTTATCCAATGATATTAAAAAATGGAAGTTTAAAAAATTCGTAAACAATATTTAAATTCAGTTTGTTGTTTTTTTTTTTGGTGTGCTTTTTGAACGACTAATAATAAATTTCTAGATAAGAATTGAATTAATAAATGTCTCGATAAGAATTCGTAGTATTTTTGCCATGTATTTTATATTTAGAATAAAGCAATTTGCTTTTAAATCCAGCAAAAATACTCCAACACAAAATAAAATTTTGGCGGGATTTAATAAATTTCTGGCCGGAAGAACAGTCTTACAGAACGTAACTAACCTATAGCTGAACAGGCAAGCAAAAAATAAGGTTCAAATAAAAGATTGTCTAAAACTAGAGGTACGCAAAAAGCAATTACTTCACCTTAATCGTGATTTTTGTTTTAATTAACTTCTTGATTGATCGAATAGTTGCTAAAAGCATATCCAACAAGCATTTGTTTTATTATTCCATTTCGATTACAACTCAAAGTTTACTGATTACATTTCAAAAATTTTCATTTTTTTGCAAAAGCGCCATTTTGATATGCTACTGGAATAATTATATTACAAAGACTGTAACGCGATTTAATCCCGTTTTCTGCTTCGTTCTCCCTCCAGCTATTCTCCTTGCTTTAAGTTAGAAGTATGTTATGTTTGAATTGATTATTAATTTAAAACTTTTTTTGTTAAGTTAACTTTTTTAGTTAAGTTTTACTCAAGTTAGCGCTTTCCAAAATTTACCGGAAATCTTTAACGTAGCTGAGATTATGGTTAATGTAATCTAATTTTTTATCTCAACTCTTTTTTTAGGTATCTGACAATGTTGATAATGCAAATACTAATACACCTTCAAAATGGCAAGTCCTTCGAGATGATTTTATGTTAGACGCGTCCATGAAAGATTGGGATAAAGAAGTTAATAAAAAAAAATCAAACGAGTCTAAAGAAATTTGCCAATTTGACTCAGATAATGAATGTTGAGAAGAATTTGATTTTTAACTTGATGAAACCACGGCAAAGATTTTGAGCTAATTGAGATAAGTTAAGCAAACCCTACGAACTTTAGTCAAGACTACAGAAAGTGACTTAAACTATTGAAGCAAGAAAGTATATACATATTTTTATAATTTTGTCATTATTATATGACGTGAAGTGACCTAAAAAGTTTGACCTAAAAGTAACCTAAAAATTTTTTATATTTAGTATTTAACTATACATTATTTTCTTATTTATTAGAATATTAATGCTATAGTATAACAAAAGTTTTTTTGAAAGTTACCAAATTGTACCACTAGTATATAACTTAAAAAAAAGCAGGGAAGAGAAGCAAAATGTTAAATTATCATGTTACATTTTATGGACAATCTTTTAACATACTTTGCTGCGTCCTGGACGCCACCCTTCATTTAGCTTTAAGAAATCTTTAAAAATTTTTAAGGTTCACAATTTATATTTACAAAATAGTTTTACTGTTGCTTGGATTATTAATCTAGATGTAATGCATATTTCAATACTATGTTCATTTTTGTGTAAGTTCATTAAATATGCTGAGTGAAAGTGATATAATGGTAATTTTTTAGCCGTTTTCGGAAAGTGCAAAAATAATTTGTAATTTCGAGAAATTAATGGTATTTCTCGAAAATACCTCGAAATTACCATTTATTTTTCATTAATTTCGAGAAATTAATGAAAAATAAATGGTAATTTCGAGGTTTTCGGAAAGTGCAAAACAACACTCCAGTTCTGTCTAAATGAGATTTCTCGACACCAAAAACAAAGAACAAGGATACAAGCGCACCACTTGAGGTGGAGACACGAGCACCTTATTAATCAGGCTAATAAAACATCCAATCGATTAAAAAAGCGTTTTAATTTTGTGATGATGTTGATTCGTTGAGAGGATCTGGTGGTTGAATTGAATCGTCATTTGTATGGCATTTTATGGTGCAATAAAACTCGGTGTTATTTACATAGTGCTTTGGTAAGAAATTTTATCAAAACCAAACTTCGCATTTTGGATTTTCCAATAATTACCATTCAATATTTTGATTTGCTGAATCCGAAATCTTACAGCACATTTTACGCTTAACTTGATTTGTTATTGTTGGAGTTGTTATTGTTTGATTCACTTGCTGCTCGTCATTACAATTAAGTTTACTTTGCTTTATAGCATATTTTTTGTTGTATTTTGGCCAATTTATTTTAGGGGTCGTCCATAAATTACGTCACGCAATTTTTGACCGTTTTCGAACTCCCCCCCCCCCTCGTCACAAAATCGTAACACTTAAGAAGCGAGTTTTGAATGAGAACCACCAACCCCCCTCCCCCATTATAGCGTGACGTAATTTATGGACGACCCCTTACTCTATTTTGTGTGTGTGTGTGTGTGTGTATTAAGGTGCTCCTAGAAGTCCTTACGATCTTATAACAGAGCACTGTGGAATATCACAGAGCACTGTGGAATATCACAGAGCACTGTGGAATATCACAGAGCACTGTGGAATATCACAGAGCACTGCGGAATATCACAGAGCACTGCGGAATATCACAGAGCACTGTGGAAGAGCACAGAGCACTGTGGAAGAGCATTTAACTAGGAAGTTCGCGTCTTCTTCCTTAACTATGTCGTTTATTGGGCTAAAGCCGACGTCGAACTTCAAATATCTTAGTTCTAAACACTGCGCCACTGTGATATTTTAAATCTTTGCATGTCTAATTTTTTTTTTCCGTCAATGCGACGAATGCAAAACACTTGTTGCAGATGTGGCCAGAAATTTTCTTTCAATATAGCCTGAGTTACTAAAACTTTGAAGACTGGTTGCCGGTGAGCTGATTTTGGAGTTTAATTTAGAATTGCCCGAGATAATGTAGTATTATTAAATTAGTCATAATTATTAACTGAGATGACGACAACACGGGTTGAGATAATGGTGTTTCGAACCTATTGGTACGAGTTGAGATAATCTCTATCAGCCAGTGAATAAATTGAAACTGTTAGTAATGAAATTGTACGAATCTAATTATTACTTATTGTATGTCTCATCAAATTCTAAGCATTTTGGATATTTATAGCAGTGTTAGAAAAATTTGTAGGTTCAATTGCAAACAGATAAAATTGATAGTTTCGACAGCAGCGATTTTCCTGCTCATCAAAACAAAACAAACCCTCAGAATAATAGCTGTTTGAATTATCTTGAGCAACACATATTTAGATCTAACCCTCTTACTTGCGGAACTAAATCTACTATTGAGAAGGACTGTCGTTCAAACGATCCTGGAAAGTGGGGCAATTTAATAAAGATGACGTCAGTTTTTGGATTAACCGCGGTCCACAAGAGTGTCAAAATCATTCTGGACCGTTTGAGTGTTTTCGTAGATTTTACAATACAGAATCCAAGACACGCTATAGTTCAGAGAGCACATTTGGACGACAAAGAAAGTTAAGGAAAAGTTCATATCAAGTTAACTCTTCAAGTCTTTGTCAGTTCGTCTAACAATACTACTTCACCTTCTAATATTGTGTGCAACTCCTGTCCGCTTTCTCTATCCCATCTTTTTAACACCACTATTTCTGTCTTTGACTCTAATATATCATCGTTCTTCCCAAACTCACTTTACTCTTGGTCCGTAAAGCAGGTAATGACGTAGGCAGGTAAACAAATACTTAAGGAGCTGAACTTGACTTTGCGGGCTTTGGTAATGTGGCCTCCATAAGGCAATTAGCTGGCGAAGGAGAAACCATAACACCTTCAGAAAGCACATTTTATGGGAAAAAAGCAAATGACGAAAGGCTTTTGCGAGAATAGCTCATTTATTCCCCAACAACTTGTTGTATGTTCTGTTTCCCTTGTAAAGTTTTCGTTTCTAAAGAAAAATCAAACAAACTCACTAGCAATGGATTTCATGATTGGAAAAATATATTTTAAATACATCAACATAAAAATGGATCTCTCCAAAAAGAATGCATGTTGATATATATTTGGAGAAAACAAAGCTCTGTAGTGTTTGACACTCTTCAACTTCAATTCCTAACGGAGCAAAATTACTGGAAAGAAGTATTAAAGCATATCATTATAACGTTATCTGAATGATGTTTACTGTTTTGCGGAACAAAAAGAGCATTTTGGTGTTCCAGATAACTGGAATTATTCGGGTTTGCAGAACTTGTGGCTCAGTTTGACCCATTTTTGAAAAATCACATTGCAATCATATGCGGATAAAGGTAAAAGAAATTCATTTTACTTATCAAAAACAATATGCGAGGAGTTGATTAATATAATGGGAGAAAATATACGATCTCACATTATAGAAGAGATTTTGGTGGCTCTTTGTTTTAGTGTTACAGTCGATTCAATACATTGCTCACATTTACCAATTGAGTACATTATTCCTAAATATGGAAAGCCAGTTGAACAATTTTTACCATTTTTAATTATAAAAAATCACGTCGATGCGATAAGTGCAGAACAGATTTTAAAATTTTTAGGCGACACTTGTCACTCCGATTTTAAATATTGTTGAGGTCAGTTTTACGATAATGCCGCCAATATTTTGGGAGAATACAGAGGGATGCAAGCAATAATGTCTAATCTCAATGAGCATGCGGTATATCTATCGTGTGCTACGCATTCGTTGAACTTAGTTGGAGAAACTTCTGTACAATGCTGCATGTTTACAGTTAATTTTTTTTCTATCGTGCAACTATTGTATACGTATTTTTCAAATTTGATACATTCCTGAGATGCCTTAAAACAACACATCGTAAACTTAAGTCATTGTAAAAAACTATTTTAAAGCTTTATTTATAATAATATTTTTATTTTTTAACTGTAAAACATGCGCGGAGTGCTACATCAACTATCTTATAGCCTGACTCGCAACGGAGTGCTGCTACATCGACTGACAAATAGCCTAACTCGCAACGGAGTGCTGCTACATCGACTGAGGGTCAAATAATTAAAAGATATATATATATTTTTTAATATTGTTTTTGTCTAGTTTCATTTAATTTATTTTTTTTTTTATAATAATTTTTCGCTTAAAAGTCCTTAAAATATACCGCTAAATTAACTACGATGCACAGTGGGCTAATTTTCAAAAAAGCTGGCCAAAAGTCAAAAAAAAAAATCACTATTTTGAATTTATTATTTTGAAACTACGTAAACAAAACCCTGTTGCATTTTATTGTATAAGAAAAAATTGTATAAATTTTAAAGTTACCTATATCTACGCAGTTAAACATCTGTTATTAAAAACACTTAATTAACGTTTTAAAAACAAACAAAAAATGTGGTTAAAAAAGTATCGTTTACAAAAAAGTTATTTATCGTTACTAAAAAACTAACTATGGACGATACTATTCAAGGTATTGTTATAATATTTTAGTAAAAAGTTTTATATTATTTCTCTAAATTTTATGCGAAAAGTGCGAACAAAAAAGTACAGAATAAAGTTTATTTATTTTCTTTAACCTATTTTTCAAGCATTGAAAAAATAGTGAACCCGCGAGATTCCGCTTAGTTATAATTTGGATGTTGTTCATAAAAGTGTATTCTAAAGATTGGTTAAAAGAAAAGGCACCTATTTTTGCCTATTACTTCATTAACTTATATTGTGTAGTGCTAGTTGTGTTTTTTACAAAACAAAATGGCGGTGTTTTGTTTTCTTTACAAAATCAGTCAAATTGTATATAGATATAGTTATTATGTTTCTTGAGAAACTGATTTTGTTAAGTGCAATAAAACTACAATAAAATTAGTAGCACACATGAATGAGATTTTGACAAAGTTAGAGTGTAGGGGGGGGGGGGACAAACCTCCTTGGTTACGACGCCTTTTTTACCTCAGCTACGACGATTTTTGTATAGTTTTATTGAATTTTACAAAATCAGTTTCTCAAAAAACATAATAACTATATCTATATACAATCATATGATTAACAGTATATTTTACCTTTCTCTTATGTATCGAATTTATATAATATAATATAATACAAACATCTGAACTATGTGCTTAAACAGCTCTTTCCATACTAATGGAAGCAAAGCTTTCTAAACACCAATATTGCATTATAAGAAGTGCTGCAATTGCAAATAGCTCTACTTTTTTACCATCTTACGAAAAACTTA